CTGTTTTTCTTTTTACCTGTCTCCTTTAGCTGTCTCTGTTTCTTGCTGCCAGCAACTAGGGTGATTTGTCTTCGTTTGTTTATTTATTTTATTTATTTGTTTCTTTATTTATCTATTTTATTTATTTATTTATTTATTTATTTATATCTATTTCTATTTGTCTCTATTTGTCTCTATTTCTCTCTCTATTTCTCTCTTTATTTCACTTTTTAGCTGTCTCCTTTTCTGTCTCTGTTCTGTCTCCTTTCTGTCTCCTTTTCTCTTTGCTAGCTACCAAGGCGCTGCGCTTTGTCTCTATTTGTTTTTCTCTTCTTTTTATTTGTGTCTCTATTTCTCTCTATCTCTCTCTATATCTCTCTATATTTTTCTCCCCATTCGTCTCCTTTCTATCTCCTTTCTGTCTCCTTTCTGTCTCCTTTCTGTCTGCTTTCTGTATCCTTTCTCTCTGTCTCCTCTCTGTCTGTCTCTTTTCTTTCTGTCTCCTTTCTTTCTGTCCCCTTTCTGTCTCCTTTCTTTCTGTCTCCTTTCTTTCTGTCTCATTTCTGCCCCTTTCTGTCTCCTTTCTGTCTCCTTTTCTGTCTCTTTTCTTTCTGTCTCCTTTCTTTCTGTCTCCTTTTTGTCTCCTTTTTTCGTTTCCAGCCAAAATGGCGATTTCTCTGCGCTGAGTTTTTGGTTTGTCTCCCTATTGTAAAACAGCCCCGAAGGGCTCAAATCAGCAGCAGCAGCAGCAGCAGCACCTGCTGCTGCTGCTGCTGCTGCTGCTGCTGTGATTGTTGTTGCTGCTGCTGCTGCTGATGCTGCTGCTGCTGTTGCTGCTGCTTAGATTTGTATGGGCTCGATTGGCCGCTGCTCCGGCGGCAGCCCCGAAACCACCGCCTCCCACGTCTTCTTTGCTGCTTCTTCCTGCAGCAGCAGCAGCAGCAGCAGCACAGCAGCAGCAGCAGCAGCAGCAGCACAACAGCAGAAGCAGATGGAGTTCACTGAGGGGTTCCCCACACACTGAATCCCGCCAGCTTGCAGCAGCAACAAAAGACAGAGCAGCAGCAACACTGCAGTAAACGCATACATAAAGCTGCAGCAGCAGCAGCAGCAGAGACAACAGAAGACAGCAGCAGCAACGAAGACACGAGGAAACAGCAGCAGCAGCAAATGCACAAGGAAAGGCCATCATCAGCAGCAGCAGCAGCAGCAGCACAGACAAAAGGAAACAGCAGCAGCAGCAGCAGCAACAAAGACACAAGCGAGCAGCATCAGCCGAATCAGCAGCAAAGACACAAGACAAAAACAGCAGCAGCAGCAGCAGAAGCAGCAGCAGCAGCAACAGCAGCAGCAGGAGAGAAGTACTGGGGTCATGGTGCGGCTGTCTATGGCGGGGTGTATATGCAGCTCGATGGGGGTCTCCGTAGGCCGGGGGAGGAGGGCCCCCACGGGCTGCAGCTTGTGGGCCCCCACCACGGAGACAGGCAGCAGCAGCAAGCCGAGCTGCAGCAGCAGCAGCAGCAGCAGCAGCAGCAGCAGCAGGGGCGGCAGCAGGAGGACACACAACACAGCAGCAACACAAATGCATGCATTTACACAACACAGAAACAGCTACCGTCTCATCCTGCTGCTGCTGCTGCTGCTGCTGCTGCTGCTGCTGTCTCTATACTCTTATAGCGTCTCCTTCTGTCTCCTTTATATCTGCTGTATGTCTCCTTCTGTCTCCTTTTGTCTCCTTTCTGCCTTTTCTCTCATCTCTTTCTGTCTCTCTCTATCTCCTTTCTGTCTCCTTTCTATCTCTGTCTCTTTCTATCTCTCTCTATCTCCTTTCTGTCTCCTTTCTGTCTCCTTTCTGTCTCCTTTCTGTCTCCTTTCTGTCTCCTTTCTATCTCCTTTCTATCTCCTTTCTGTCTCCTTTCTGTCTCCTTTTGTCTCCTTTTCTTTATAAATACCTTTCTTGCTATCTGAAATAAACCCAACTTGGGCGTCTTTGCCCTTCCGTCTCGCGCTCGGCTACCCTCAGGAAATCCAAGAAAAACAGGGGGCCCCTCTCCTACCAGGGGGCCCCCCTGGGGGCCCCCCTGGGGGCCCCCTGGGGCCCCCCCCTGGGTACTGGGGGCCCCCCCCTGGGGGCCCCCCACGGCACTGTAGGGGCCCCCTTGAGGGTTCCCCCCTATACTGGAGCGGCCCCCCTGGCGGTCCCCTAGGGTACTGGGGGCCCCCCCTTGGGGGGCCCCCAGGGTACTCGGGGGGCCCCCCCCTTGCGGGGCCCCCTGGGGGGCCCCCAGGGTACTGGGGGGCCCCCTGGTGTGCCTGCGTACGACTTGGGAAATTTCGCGCACGAGGCGGACGGTGCCGCTGAGAGAATTTCTATCGAAGCCAATGACACCTATCTCTCGCATAGCGTAACCTGCGTATACACCCCAAAACCCTAAACCCTAAACCCTAAACCCTAAGTAAAACAAAGGAAAACAAAATGAAATAAAATAAAAATAAAACAAAACAAAATATAACAAAATAA